AAGCTTGGTGATAACTGCTCCAATCTCCCCAATACTGGGGCCTACAAGGATACATTAGTTCAGTTTATAACTATTATAATTTCACTCCAGGCCACATGGTTATGTTGGGTTTCTAATCAGCCAGATGACATTCCCAGGCCTCTCCCCTAACCCTGTCATGAATATCCTCACACTGACATCAGCCTGTCTGCTTCCTAAAGGACCTATCAGTTCTAACTTTATAGAATTTTCTTGTGTTGCTCCAACCCAACTCACAGCACATCCCCTTCCGTGCTCTTACTGTCGTTGTTTTTTTCTCCCAACTTGACATATCGCTGAACTGATATCCTTCCTCTGCTTCCTTTCTTGTTACTGCATGTCCAGTAGTATTGCACAAAAGTGCTCAAAGGGAAGGGTCAAGCCTGGTTTCAAGTCTGAGGTCTGGGATTACATCAAATCCGTAACGTTTATCTTACCCTCACCATCAGCCAAATACTTCCCAGTTTAGGGCTCAGTCACATCAAGAGGAGACTGAATTGTCTGAGCTTCAGCGTGCCCTGTTTGTACCTTCATTTTTCTTACTTAACTCCAAAGGTATGGCTCCCAAATCCTCTTAGGCCCATGTAAAGATCACAGGCTGGCGGCCACTGGCAGCCGGGAAGCACTTTTACCTGCAGCCACTCTGGGTGGCTGGGGCAGGGACAGAGAGACTACTGCCTCTTGCCGCCTGGAGGGAGCACAGTCCACACAAAGGGTTTTTGTCTCAATTCAGTGAGAAGTCGTTTTGAGCCGTGCTTCCCAAGTCTTGCAATCCACTTGCCTTGGGCACACAGTGAGCATTATTGTTATTGTTGTTATTATTATTACTATAACATGACAGAACCAAACACCCCCGCTCCCCACAGCCCTGCCATGCACAGCCAGAGCTTGGCACGGCACCTACTGGCTTGCTCCCAGTGCCAGCGTTCTAGTGGGTTCCACTTGAGAAGGTGCCCTGCCAGCAGTTGTGGTATCCCACGGCTCTCCTGCTCCTCCTGCAGAAAGTCCTGACTGCCATTAAATCTACAGTGAACAACTGGGCTCATCCCCAGTGACTAGGGCGGTGCCTGAAGCCAGAAGGCACTTGGGAAATATTTGGGTAGTGAATAAACAAATGAATGTTATACAAATAAATTCAGTTCCAGGGAAGGGGGTTAGAAGGGAAAATAGAGTTTGGGGTTTGCTTTGCTTTGGTTTTATATTTAAATGAAGGAGAAGAAAAAACATCTGTAATTTGGGTTCTAAATTAAAAGGCAACTAAGCCCCAAAAGAGTAAGTCATTTGTTTGACCACTTAGGGGCAAGCGGTCAGCGGTCAGCCAGCAGGTAGGCACTGGAGACTGCGCGACGCATGACTCTGGAAATACTCAAAATGCCAAGAAGTCTCGGTGACATCAGCCCGCGTGGCCTCTGCCCCTCACTCCTGGCTTGTTTTGCTCTCCTGCTCTGAGTACACAACCTGAACGAGGTTACTTCAGCCTGACAGCTTTCTCTGGGGAGCAATTAGAGCCTTGAAGATCCTACCTATGCTTCACCAGACATCTTCTCATTAAATAGGACTTCAAGTCTTCCTGGGGCCTAAAACATTAAGATTTAAAAGAAACAATCGGCTGCTTTTTTCCATGCCAAATCAGACCGTTGTTTAACATGGGGAGGGATACCACTGGGGTTAGTGAACTAGAAAAAGGGGGTTATATGTTGCTGGAGAACAGAAACTTAGCAGGAAAATTAAAAACAAGTTAGGCTCCAGTCATATCTTTAAAGAACCAGGCTTTTCAGGGCTTGTGCAGTCTAAAAGTCAGAACTTTCAGTGTCTTCTCTCCAAAACTTCCAAAGTAGAACTCATGCCACCAATGCCAGCACTAGACAGTGAACCAGTGAAACTCTGTGCAGCATCCCGTCTCATCAGGAAGCCTAGTGTTGGCTGCACAATGTTGCCATGAGAATTCCACATGGAGGGAAGGATGTGGCCTGCCTGGCAGCATGTCAAGCCAGGCTGAAAACTGGCAGTAGAGAAGGTGTGGTGGTATGAGAAAGGGTGGGATAAGGGACTGCCTGAAACCAGAAGCTCATTCTAAAGCAGGTGCCAATGGCCACCTTTCTGACCATCCCTCACCTTTCCAAGAAACTTGCCCTTTGTGGAAAAGTGATTTTGAGGGTAACAAGGACAACTGCACCTGTGTTGTGAGAATCACTACCGAGTTATCTTGGAGCTCTCTCATTAATGGCTTAAGATAGAGGTTCCAGTGCATTGCCTATTGTTATGATTTGTGCCTAGATGTCCACCCAAAGCTGCATACAACCATGAGGGTGTGGGCTTTTTCAGAGGCAGCCAAATCTTGGGTTTGTGATTGGTTCATTGCTTAGTGCTGGGATTAGCAATGCAAGTGCCACACCCACAATGGGACAGATAACCTATATACAGTATAAGGAGGGAAAGAGACTGGCTCCTCCCTTTTTACCCCGTGTGTTCTTGTTGCTTTTGCTGCCTTCTACCACCATGAAGGGTTGTCCCCAGCCATGCTATTCTGCCTTGGAGCCAGCAGATTATGGATTGAAACCTCTACATACTGAACTAAATAAACCTTTCCTTCTTTAATTTGGTCATCAGGCATTGTGTCCCAATAGTAAGAAGTAACTAAGGCACAATTTGATACCAGGAGTGGGGTCGTTGCTGTGATTACTTCACAAAGCAGTTCAATAGTCTTTGAGAATGGTTTGTGGGAAGAGAGTGGACAGTTTCAGAGTTGTCTCCTGAAAGAGAAGTATTAGACAAGCAAGCACCTCCCCTCCCTGGTAAGTGGAGGCAGTGGGGCAGACTGCAGCCCTTCCAAGGAGAGAACCAACAGTGTCTGCTGAGATCCATGCCATGTTGGAACTTAGGACCCTGGGAAGCCAAGCAAGCACCTCCCCTCCCTGGTAACCAGAGGCAGTGTGGCAGACTGTAGCCCTTCCTGGAGGAGAACCAGCAGCAGCTCCTGAGATCTGTGCCATGTTGGAACTGAGGATCCTGTGAAACCAAATGACCATCCTGCCTCCCTGCTAAGCAATAGTGAACCTACTGCTACATGGCCTAGAGTCAAATATCCCACTTCCCTTATCCTCCTTCTCCTCCCCTCCCCCCCCCACCCATTAGCAAATGGGAATCAGAAATCTGAGCGTCTCCTGGGAGGTTGACCATAGCAAATAATGGGGGACTTCCTTATACCATTTCTTTGAAGGCAAATATTTTTATTACTATTTTGCTCTTTTGTGATTAATGGTACTGCTTTATTCAATATTCTGTTTCGATAAGTTCTATAGTGTTCTATATTTCATCTCATTTTGATATACATGATTGAAAGAACAACTATTATAAAGATAACAAAATATACTGTGATACCTATTACTGTTATCCCGGTAACCTGCTGTGAAGTCTGTACCAATTTCACCGTATGATCTTAGTTGGCTTCATTCTGACTTGTTCTGTTGTATACTTTCAAAATAAAATTTTTAAAAAGAAGGGAGAGAGAAGGGCTAGAATGCCTTAGGCTGTTCATTATGGAAGATTCTGGTCAGAAATCCTGCCATTAAAGACCAGGCTCAGGAAATTTCTGCTGGGCAAGACTGTACTGGCTGCTGAACTCTGGATGCAGAGTCCTAGGGATCCAGGTACTCAGCCCCTAAACCCCAAAAAGAAGAAAGCCTAGTTACTGCTCCTACTGGCAGCAGACCTTGGCATCATCCACGTGACAGTGGTTTTAGGTGCATGCAAAATATAAGAGTTATGGGATTATAAAGGCTCCCACTAAGATTTCAGAAGCCTTATGAGACCAGGAAGTGTTCCCCTGAGAGAGCAGTATGCAAAGCTGTAAGTGTGAAGCCAAAGGTGCAGTGGAGACCCCAGAAGGTTGGAGAAGCCAGGAATGTGGATTCTGGGGAAACCAGCAAGGAGCAAAGTGGGCCTGAAAGAGAAGCCATGGGAGCTCTAACCACTGGAAGTGCCGTAGGTGCAGAGTCATGCAAACCCTTTGGAACTAAGTTTCACACAGATTGCTTTGGATGTTCCACATGGAACTACAGGGGGCTAGATTATAGGATCCAAACCTCTCTTTGAGGTGATTGTTCCTCAGGGGGCACTGCCAAGAGACATTCCTTGCCCCAAGGAATCTCTGTTTCAATTCAGTTGCTCTGGTGGATGTTGGACTTGCTTTGGTTCCATTCTTTTGTATTCCTATTTGTAGCTTTTGGAATGGAAATATTTATCCTGTGCCACTGAATGCTGGATGTACTTAACATTTTATTGTACAGGGTCTTGCAGCTAAGAGTTCACCTTATATCTCAGAGGACATTTGGAACTTGGACTTTTCAGCAGTGCTGAAACTGTTAGGACTTTGACAACTGTTAGAGATGGACTAAATGTCTTTTGCATAAAGGGTTGTACATGAGTCTTCAGCATTCCAGGGACAGAATGCTATGATTTGTGTCTGGATGTCCCCCCAAAGCCTCATACAGTTATAAGGGGGATTGGCTTTTTAGAGGCAACCAAATCTGTAGTTTGTGATTGGTTGTCTAGTGCTGGGATTGGCCAGATGTACTGAGGCAAATTCCAATGATATCAGTCCCGCCTCCCCAGGGTATTCACAACTTGAACACTTGGCCTCTTCTTCTGTGACCACAGCGCACGACTGTGACCAAGCTCAGCCTTCATACACCTGCATATAAGGTTTTGTCTTAGAAGAGACAGTGTGGGCAATGCAAGGAACCAAACCAGGCTCTTGCAAGGAAATCCATTTCACTAACATAGATAGCAGCTAGGATGTTCAGTCTTGGGAGACAGCTGTCCATGAAGTGGAGTCAATTTCTTATCATTCAGTTCTTAGGAGCTGCAATGATGGTTTCATCTTCAAACCAACTATACAGCATGGTTGGAGCATTTTTCCTGGAAGCTTAACCATGAACTTGTCCCCCACCATTTCCGGTGATTCTAATGATGACTAAATATTATCTAATAAATCCACTTTATTCTTGAAACAGAGTTTTTTTTGTTGTTGTTGTTGCTTAAAACCAAGAATTCTGACAAAGGATGTTTGGAAAGCTGAGAGAACAGTAGCCTAGAGGCAAGTGGACCTTTGACTCTTGTTGGCGCTTTGTGGGGGCTCTCTCCTCTGTTGGTCTTTAGCAACAGGGTTAAGGGTGGGGGTCATCCCTTCTTGGGGTGACAGGGAACTCATTCTTTCAATACAAGACAACCTTGTGTGTGATGGGCAAGCCTTTCTTTGAATCAATACTGTCTGCAGATGAAGTTCCTTTGATGGGCACCTAAAACTACAATACAGAGGAGCTTCAAAATGTGACCTCAGGGCTGGCTTAAGCTTCCTCGCACCCTCTTTCCTCTCCTTCCCCTGACTGTATCTCCATTTTTATACCTGTCTAGACACTCAAATCCATCTGCCCTTTCTCCCTTACTAAGCTCTGTCAAATTTGCCATCAACCTACTCAGATATAATAACTGAGCTAGCTTAGAACAGTGTCCTTTAACAGGAAGATCTGTGCGATACAGGAACTGAGCTTCAGGCTAAAAGACCATGCATTCTGGTGCCATTTCAGACATGAGAGAACTTTATGCTTGGTTTGCTTTTCATTGTTGTTGTCGTTCTTATTCTTGTTAGCAGTGAGAATTTCCCAGGAAACCAGGAGGCCATCAACCAGGAAGGACCTTCACATTTATGGAAAGCCCGCATCCACGCAGGCAGAATGCTGGGTGCTTTCTCCAACATCATCCCACTTCCCTGGCCCTCGTGGCTCTGCTCCCACCAGCCACGTTGCTAATCTTCCTTCTGCCCAGCCACACTTTACCAGACACCTGCGTGGCCACCCCCTTCCAGTCTTCAGATCTCTGTTCAAACATCCTTAGGAAAAGACAGCTCCCAGTCACCTAAAGTCATGTTCCCCTTACTCTACTGTATTAGTTCTCCATGTACTAGTCACTCATGACAGCCTTACTTACTCATTTATTGCTCATACCCCCCTAAACATCATTGCTGTCATAATGTAACTGCTAAAAAGGCAGAGATCTCATCATTCTTCACTGCCTTTTTTTCCTAGCATGGAGTAAATGTTTAATAAATTTTTCTGAATAAATTAAATTCATGCAGAATGATATATTATTCCAACCTTTAGGAAAATAGAAATATTTGGAAAAATTTAATTATTTTAGATCTCCCAGTGAACTTGTGACTAAGCCTATATCTAAACCTGAATCTGTACAACAATGGGGACCAAGCTTACTCACCCACCCTTACCATGCAAGGCAGGTTAACCACAGAAAACACTAAGGCCCACTTCCTTTTTTTTCTTTTCTTTTTTTTTTTTTTTTTTTTGGTATCAGGGATTGAACTCAAGACCTCATGCTTGCCAGGCAGGCACTTACACCTCTGAGCTATATCCCTGGCCCATAAATGAAGGACTTTTTTTTGTACCAGAGATTGAACACATGACCTCACGTTTACCAGGCAAGCGTTTGCACTGCTGAGCTAAATCCCTGGGCTCTAAAACCCACTTGCTAGCTCCTCGGTAACCTCAGTGACCTGCCTGCTAGATTGTACTTATATTGTTTAGTATAGCACTAGTTGCTACCACTGAAAAGCTTCCTATCTAAGTAGATTAAACCAGTAAAAGAATATGATGTGGGTGTTCATAGTAAGAATAGAGGGGCTGGGGATTTAGCTCAGTGGCATAAGCGCCTGCCTTGCAAGCAGGCAGTCGTGAGTTTGATCCCTGGTACCGATAAAACGAAAAAGACCAAAATAATAATAATAATAATAATAGAAACCCAAGCTCCTTCTAACCTGTGGATCAGCCACCCTCAACAAACGGCTTTCAGGGAATCACTGTCATTTAACCAGCGTGAGGATCACACTATGAAAGAGTTAAGGCAGCCCTTCTTCTCACTGTACATTGGTTGTCACTCAGTCAAATAGCTATTCCCAGCTGCAAGGGAGTCTGGGAAATGTACTGTTCCTGTGAGTCCAGGAAGAAAAGAGGTTGATGATTGAACATCTGCATTTAGATCTAAGCAGCAGCTTCTCTTAGGGGTTTCAGTACCCCAAATGCTAAGTGGAAAGTCCCTGAACAAAGTAGTTCACCTCTGAGACCTACAATTCAGGCAGTCCTAGGCCAAATCCCAGGCTCAACTCCGACTGCCTGTTGGCCTAAGTCTATATAAATAGGGTCAGAATTAATATCTACAGTTATAGTGAGGAGTGGCTGAGATAATACCTACAGGTGTAAAGGAACCTGGATACATTGCTATTATTATGGGGATGGAACTCAGAAGGGAGTGCCAGCTTTTTTTTCTGGTTACTCCTGTATTCTAGTGAGGTAGTGATATGCAGAGCCACTCTGGATCTCAAAGCTTCAGCAAGACAAGCTTTGTCCCCCCTGACAAGTGACCTGTGAATTCTTTCTGTTGCATCGTATTGATGGTTTCTGACAAATCCCACAGTATCAGTTCACGTAAGTAAGTTTGAAATGCCCTTTCCACTAACAAAGGAAATCTGCTATTAACTAATTACATTTTGGCTTTTCCTGTGTATGCTACAGAGGCTGGGAAAAAGAGTCTGAGTGTCAGATGACCTCTGGCATGGAGAAAGTGTGTGTGTGGCCAGCGCCCCACTGTCCATTCTCTGCTATAAATCCAGTGAATGGAGAAAATCCTGTGGAGGATCCCCAGTGCACAGTCTCAGGGACGCTCTGGTTTCTGAGACCAATATTTTTTCCATCAGGACCCTACTTCACAATCAAACCATGTATTTTTTGGTCACCTTGAGTAGGTCACTTAATTATTTTTCTGAATATCAGCAATTTTCTGAAATTTGGAGTTTTTCCATCCTTTGGAAACACTTCTCTAAAAATCTACTGGGGATCCTCACTCCAAAACTCTCCACTTAAACACTAGGCTTTTTTCTTCTCTGCCATTTCTTTATTAGTCCAGAGGAAGGCAAGGTGAATGGCAGGAATGGGCCTCTCACTGCCTCCATTCTGGCCTGGAGTGAGTTCAAATTCCTTTGCTAAGTGTCAGCTTCCTTATGTGTTACATGAGAGTATTTATCTCATGGGGTTGTCCCCAAGATTAACTGTGAAAAAAGTGGCTCAAAGCAGACACCATATAGATGTTAAGAGATGGCATCTCTGGCACCTACCCCAACTCTCCAGCCCCTCTTTTTTTACGATGTCACCAACCTAAAACTGCTCTTAAAATATTGTGTCTCCTCCTACACAAAGATATTCTCACTGCAACAATAAAAGATGCACTTGCTGAGAAACAGTGCATATTCCTGCACAATGGAAAAATCGTAGGGTTCTGTAAAGCTAATTGAGAGAAAATCCGTTAGGTGTCAGAAATCATGAGCATTGCCCAAAACGAAGCTGTCAATACAGGAAGAGACCAGGGACTTTAAATTGTACTCACACAAATCTATCCCCATCTCAACTGCATGGATAGATATCCAGAAACTGAAGTGATAAAGTAAATAAAAAATAGAACTGAGCTCTATTTGCAATTAGGATGCAGAAAATCACAAAGCCCGTTGTTTCCACTTTCACCATGAGAAGTCAGATAAGCCACAAAGTCACAGTGCTTCTGCTGAGGCTGGGAAGAAGGAAAATGAACTAAATTTCAGAAGGTGATGTTCTCTTCCTCGCAAGAAGTTGTGATACTTTCATCACTAGTAAAAGAGCAAAGAAAGATAAATCTTCCATGGATTAGAGTAAGGAGAAAATCTCTAAGAGTGAGTGGGTTTCCCTGACATGTAGTACCCTGAAGAATTCCTGACAAAGCCCAGCCACCCTCTCCACCGCTCTCCAGGACACAGGAGCATTATGCAGAGGGTTGGAGTAGGAGACACGGGGAGTGATGGCCCAGGTGTCATCTCCTTCTCCAGGTGCAAGGTTAAAGCAAGGTAAGGCAAGGAAAGCCTAGAGAACTCCTTCAGAAACACACAGCCTCTTCCAGGAATATGGCCCTGGCTCTTCATCCTCCATCCTCCAAAAGTTGCAGGCAGGACCTCTAGGTGGAGAATCTCAAGATGCAGAAGTCCATAGAGCAAAGACAGTGCCTCGGTGAACAAAACAATAAGCTGGCTGACTGTCCGATTGATGGCATGTAGAATTTTCTGGATTCTCATCCATGCTCGTATTCTGAACTCTGCTTACAGGAAAGCTTGATCCTTTCCTCAAATTGTTTGAGCCCCAGTGGCAAAATACATCTAAAAAAGAAAACCAAGAGATAACGGAAATTTAAAATCTCTTTTGTTCTTTTTAAAACATAATTACCAAGTACTTTTCAAAATCAATGTCTTAGTTACATTTCTTTTTTTTTTTTTTTTTTTTGTCTTTTTTTTTTTTTTTTTTAATCAATACCGGGGATCGAACTCACGACCGCCTGCTTGCAAGGCAGGCGCTTATGCTAAATGCTGAGCTAAATCCCCCCCTCCTTAGTTACATTTCTTGTGGCTGAAACAAAATACCCAACACCCATAAGTTAAAGAAAAAAAAGATTTATTTCAGCTCGCAGTTTTTATAGGTCTCAGTCCATAGTTGGCTGTCTCCAAAGGAGGGTGTCATGGCAGGGGGCACAGTAGAGAAGGAATAGTCCATGGCCGTGTGGGCAGGATGCAGGTGAGCAGCCATAAGCCTCCCTTTCCCTTTTATCCCTCAGGCTAGTAGTCTTTTGGGTACAGCTACCCTTAGGCAGTTGGGCCTTCCCACTATCTACACTCAGAACCAATCAGGGTAGTAATCCAGTGCCACTCTCCTTTAATCCCAGTATCACACTTTTAATCCGCATTCACCCAGCCTAAATTCAGCCACCTCCAAACAGCCCCTCCTAGGATTGCATGAGGCTTTGGAGCTTCATTTAGGTGCAGTCCATAACATCATAGATCCAAGAAGTTAGTGAATCAAGTAGATAAAATATCTCCCCCACTCTTGCTTCCACATACACATTTGTATTTTAACCTCTAAAAAAGACTGCTGATTGGCTGAGAAAATTAAAGTAATAATAACATGTTGTGGGGTTTATAGCATAAACAGAAGTAAAATATAAGAAAGCAATAGCTCAAAGGGCAAGAGCCAGGTAAATGGAATTATGTTGAGATAAGTTTCTGACATGGACCTCAAAATAGAATAAATGTATTTGAAGGTAGATTATTGTCATTTAAACTCTAATTTAATTTCTAAAGACTAAACATTAAAAATAACACAAAAAAGTGTAGCTATGGAGTCAATAGAAAAGGCAAAGTAAAACAGTAAAAATCACTTACCTAACCCCCAAAAAGCATATGAAAAAAAATTAAGCAAAGTACAAAACACACCTGACAAATAATAACATGGTAGACTTTTAGTACCTAACCATATATCTAACTACACTGAATGTTGTACTTAAACATAGCTATAAAGCAGAAATGATCAGATTGAATAAAAGTAAAATATAACCTAAAGCACCTAGTTAAATATAAAGAAACAAAAAACTTGAAAGAAAAAATTCTCTATGAATTAAAAAATTTTAGAAAAAAATCTCCATACAAACAATAAACAAGAAATCTGCACTATGCTATGATTAGACAAAGTGAACGTCAGAGCCCCAGGAGTTGAGGGCCTGGGAAGTGACTTCCAACATACTTGCATTCATTTGCGGAAAGCTTTGCATCATCACTCCCAGCAGTTAGGACCCTGCCCAGCTTTCTGAACCACAAGAGGAGGCACAGGAGGTAATGCAGACCTGACTGGGCCATACCTAGGGACCTCCATTGAGCCCCAGAAGCTGAGAGCCAGCAAGGTGAGTTCCAGTGCCCTTGCTCTCACTTGGGGAGAGCTTTGGACCATTGCTCCCAGTGGCTTGGACCCCACCTAGCACCAAGCAAGCCTAGGAGCCATGTACATAGAGGAAAATATAAGCCATATTTTTTCTGAAATGATAACAACTGAAATAAAGAAACAATTCTGGGAAGCTATGAAGAACTCAAATCAGAAATAATCACCCAGATAAAAGGAGAAGTGATAAATGTAATGAAAGAAATGCTGAACACATCTAAAGAAGACATAGTTAAAAAATTAGAGGAACAATGCAAAAAAATGGAAACCCTGAATGAACAATATAAGAAGCAAACAGATGTATGAAGCAGATTCAAAGAGATATACAGGAAATCAAAATTTCCATTGAAAGTTGGTAAAACAACTTCAAAAAAAGTGAAGATATAATTTCAGACCTTGAAAACAAAATTGCACCTAGTGAACAGGAAAAGAAAGATCTTTTAAAAATAACAAGGAAAGGGGCTGAGGATTTAGATCAGCAGCATAAGTGCCTGCCTTGCAAGCAGGCAGTCGTGAGTTCGATCTCCAGTACCGATAAAAAGGAAAAAGACAAAAACAAAAACAAAAAAAAAAAAGGGAATCAGAAAATAACACTTCAACAGTTGTAAGATGATGCAAAGAAAAACAATGTAAGATTGATAGGGATAAATGAAACAGAAGGGGATAGCACAAATGATATCAAGAGGCTATTTACAGAAGTAATAGCTGAAAATTTCCCAAACATGAGAATGGAAACTGACATATGGATCAGTGAAGCATATAGAACTCCAAATAGCCATAACCAAAATAAAACTACACCCAGACGTATAATAATCAACATCCCAGAAATCCAACATAAGAACAGAATATTAAAAGCTATTAAAGAGAAAAAACAGATCAATTATAAAGAAAAACCTATCAGAATCACAGCAGAATTCTCAACACAAACAATGAAGTCAAGAAGAGCATGGAGTGAAGTATTGCAGATCCTAAAGGAAAATGACTTCCAACCCAGACTGATGTACCTGCAAAACTGTCCTTCAAAATGGATGGAGAAATAAGATACTTCTATGACAAAAAACAGCTGAAGAACTTCATGACCACCAAACCAACACTGCAAAGAACACTGAAAGACATTCTAGATAGACATAGGAAAAAACCACGAAGCAAGGCAGACATTTAAACAGAGTTGAAAGATAAAGAAGCAACAGCAGAAAGATAACATGTAAAAAATAAACCATATATAACAGTTACAGTCATTAAGGTAAATGGCCTCAATGCACCAATTAAAAGAAATAGACTGGCAGAATGGATCCAGAAACAACATCCAACCATATGCTGTTTACAAGAAACCCATCTAACCCAAAAGGAAACTATAGACTGAAAGTCAAAGGATGGAAAACAATACTTCATGCAACAGGAACTAAAAAAAAAAAAAAAAAATCGGGGTAGCTATTCTGTTTGCAGACAATGTGAACTTCAAACAACGAATGATCCAAAGAGATAAAGAAGGTCACTACATACTAGTTAGGGGAAAACTTCAAGAGGAAGAGATAACAATCTTAAATATATATGCACCAAATTCAGGAACACCCAGCTATACAAAACAAGTATTAACATAAATGGAAAATCAAATAAGCAATAACACAATTATAACAGGAGACCTTAACACACTATTGACACAAAGGGACAGATCAATCAGATAAAAAATCAGCAAAGAAATAACAGAACTGAATCACACCTGTGATCATATGGACTTGATTAGATGTATACAGAGTGTTCCATCCAACATCAGAATATACATTCTTCTCAGCAGTACATGGGACATTTTCTAAAATAGACCATATAATAGTCCACAGAACATACTTAAGTAAATGCAAAAGAACTGAAATTATCCCATGCATGTTATTGGATCATAGTGCCATGAATCTAGAAATTAATGATAAAATAAACTGCAAAAACTCCACAAACACATGTAAATTGAATAATACACTCTTGAGCAATCAGTGGGTCACAGAAGAAATTAAACAATATCTACAAGCAAATAAAAATACAAATACAACTTACCGGAATCTGTTGAATGCAATGAAAGCGGTCCTCAGAGGAAAATTTATTGGAGTGAATTCCCACATCAGGAAAACACAACAAACACAAATAAATAACCTAATTCTGCACCTCAAACACCTAGAAAAAGAAGGACATGTCAAGCTCAAAGCCAAAAGAAGGAAATAAATTATAAAGATCAGAGCAGAAATTAATGCAATAGAGACTAAGAAAACAATACAAAGAATCAGTGAATCAAAGAGTTGGTTCTTTGAAAGAATAAATAAAGTTGATAAGCCCCAAGGCAACCTTACTTTAAAAAGGAAAGGAAAAACTCATATTCATGCAATAAGGAATGAAAAAGGTGAAATCACTACAGTCTCTGTGGAAATACAAAGATCATCAACACCTATTTTGAAAACCTTTACTCTCATACGTTCAATAACAGAAGAAATGGACAGATTCCTAGAAACATATGAAATACCAAAGCTGGGTCAAGAAGATGTAAAACTGCTGAATAACCCAATTTCTATTAATGAAATTGAAAATGCAATTAAATCCTTACCAATAAAGAAGAGCCCAGGCCCAGATGGATTCACTGCAAATTCTACAAGAAATTCAAAGAAGACTTAATGTCGACACTCCTCAAAGTCTTCAACGAAATTGAAAGGGATGCAATTCTTCCTAATTCATTCTGGAAGCAAATATTACTCTAGTACCAAAACCTGAGAAAGACCCAACTGAAAAAGAGAACTACAGGCCAATCTCCCTAATGAACATAGATGCAAAATTTCTCAATAAAATATTGGCAAACAGGATGTAGCAAATCATCAAGAAGATTATATACCAATGCCAAGTGGGATTCATCTCAGGAATGCAGGGATGGACCAACATACATAAATCAGTAAATGTAATCTACCATATCAATAGGACCAAAAATAAGAATCACATGATCATTTCTATAGATGCAGAAAAACCTTTTGATAAGATCCAACACTTATTCATGATAAGAAGCTTACAGAGAATTGGAATAGATGGTCTTTACCTCAATATGATAAAGACCATTTTTGACAAACCATCAGCCAGCAGGTAAGTATTTTTACCACTGTTTTGCTTTATTCTATCATATTAAGTGGCCAAAAACTGAAAGCCTTTACCTTAAAATCAAGCACAAGACAAGAATGGTCCATTATCACCACTCCTATTCAACATAGTGCTGGAAATACTAGCCAGAGCAATTAGAAAACAGACAGAAATAAAAGGAGTAAGCATAGGAAAAGAGGAAGTTAAATTATCATTACTTGCAGATGACATGGTACTCTACATAGAAGACCCCCAAAACTCCGTTGCAAGACTCCTAGATATAATAAAT